GGCCAGCCGAGAGACATAGTCCCTTCAGCGTGTCCTGGGTCTTCCTCGGGGCCTCCTCCCGGTGGGACGTGCCCGGAATATCTCACCAGGGAGGCGTCCAGGAGGCATCCTTACCAGATGCCCGAGCCACCTCGGCTCAGGTATCTGGTAAGGATGCCCGAGCCGAGGTGGACTCACTTGGACTCAATTGGTCCAGTTGACTCAATTGGTGGACTCAATTGGAGCCGAGTCCCAATTGATTATAGCTTGAAGCTATAATCAATTGGGACTAAAATGTTGACTGGTTAACTAGTAAATTGCATCAGTCATCAAATTGTTTAACTTGGCCTTACTAGTTATAAATGCTCACTAATTTACTATTAAAAGCATTTTTTTTTTGTATTTTGCACATTTTGAGGCTATACTAGCTAGTTGACTAATTAGACATTAATGCAGTTTGAATTCCTTTCAGATTGCATTTAGAGTAACAACAAGGTAACTAGTTGAGGTCCTGACCTTTCACAAGTTATCATGTTGACAGTTGCAGCCATTTACAAGTGAAAAATTAGCCATGATGTCAACTAGAGTGTAATCTTGTCTGAAATGTAGAGTGTAAATGTTGACTAGTGTGACGACATGTTAATCCCAATACATATTTGTCTAGTGGTCCTACTAGTACGCCAAAATGTCTTATTAATCGATTCACATAGGCTACACTTGTTTTACTAGTTACAATTATCAATAAGAACATATTTGTTGATCAGTTAATATCTTTTTAACAGCAAGGTTATTTAGTCATCATGACTGTTTTAATGAAAATTTCTTTCCATCTTGATGCGAGGTTCATCTGCTGTAACAAACAAAATGATCTGATGGAGGCAGTGATCTATCTCCACTGGCAGTCATTAAATGAACCTGATATTAGGAAGTGATGAATCATCTCATTCCTTGAGTTTATTAGCCATTTATCTACTTTACTCTTACTGCCACATTCGCACCGAGCTCCCTGTTGATGAATGAATGTCCTTCTCCGAAACGAAGCACGTCTGCTCCAACCCTCAGCCCTAACTCATCGGGCCACAAACAACATGCTGCTGACGTCAGCCATGGAAACGGCCGAGGGATGCTCTCCAACCGAGTTTCATGCTGTGGGAAGTGTTTAAGGGTTTTGGAAGTGGAGATAAAAGAGGTGGAGGGACGTGCACGCACTTCACTCCGTATCCCTGCATCTCTTTGTGCAGTAATCCTGCCCTTCGGCGAAGCGGCTCCTCTAGTTGCGAGCAGATTCTCAAAGGGCCATATCATTAGCAGTGGTAGCGTTTCACATCTCCACTTAATCCCGTTTCAGACCTTTGTTGTGGCACAAGAACCAGTTAAAAAAGAGCATTTAATCACTGTAACCTGCTGTTTGTAGAGGATGTTTAATTGAGTTAAAGTGCTGTGGCAAAGCAGATCTGCATACACATCTTAAAATGAAACCCTTTTCTGTGTTGGTCGTTAATTTTGACACTTTAGCTGTTGATAAGCATGACAGGTCAGCAAGTTCACACAACTTCACTCTCCTCTAAAATAAATGGTTTCTTTGTGTAAGTTTGACACTTTTGACCTTCTCCTTTACTCTGGTCCAGTTCAAGAAAAAAATAATAATCTGCAGGCATTAGGATCTCTTCTGAAATGCCAGATTTGTCACCAGTAAAAAGCCTCAATCTGAATGGATTTCTGTTTGATCACTGCACAGCAGGGTACAGAGTCACGTCTTGTGTCTCATAATAAGATGTGACAGAGTCATTTTTGAGTACAGAAATCTCGTCTGAGAGAGCCAAGGGGCAGGGATATCCATTCACCTTTATTTTTTTCCCCCTCCATCATAAATCGGACACGGTTAATAACAGCCAAGTGAACCTGAATCAGATCAAACCCGGTGAAGCTATTTGACTGTCTGAATGGCTTTCATGCCTGACTGCCACCACTGCATCGTCAAGAATTTGATGCCAGTGTGGAAAGCAGCAGTGATTTGTTTATATTATATCTGCCTTTTGTACGTCGGTACATTCATATCTTAAATTAATGTGCAGCTCTCTGTCAATAATTTACAAACCTGTCAGTGTGAATTCCAAACTGACATGCTAAATCTACAAACCTAAAGTTTTCTCTTTCATCTGATGAGACAGTGAATGGAGTAGATGTTGGCGTCATTGCGCCGAGATCTCCAGCTCTGGAGTGGTTTGCACCACTCAGGATCAGCACCTACAAATTTAAATCTCACAATCTAAACTACCATTAGCCATACAGCTCAATAACAACAGTTTCTCTGCATTCAAATATTTAACCAACAGGATATTGGACAAAACGATGTGCGTGACTGCATTTCTGAGGTACAAGCTGACAGGAGTGGAATTAAGTAGTTTATTCTTGCAGCTATTTCAGCTTTTCATGTACAAGTCTAGATTCAAAAAGAAAGAAAGAAAGAAAATCGATGAAGATGTCCTTGTTCTAAAATCAAAATATAGATATTTTGATGCTTCAGTCATATTTTGATCAGGGACAGTGGAAAGTAACCAAACTATTTAAATCTTGTCTAAATCATATTGGTGGGAACTACTTTTTTCTTCCGCCTGTGTAATGTGTAAGTGCAGCAGTGGCATGTGCTCTATCAGACACTCATACTTCTTTTCATCTTCATGTAACTTAAATTAAGACACAAGTTTTTATTTTTAGTAGTTCTTTATCATCAAGCAAAAA